GCAATGTCTTATGACCGGTATGTGGCCATCTGCCACCCCCTCCATTACACTGTCATCATGAGCTGGAGAGTGTGCATGGCCCTTGCTGTCACTTCCTGGTCCTTTGGATTTATCCTTTCTATGGTACATGCGATTCTCCTGCTGAGGCTGCCCTTTTGTGGGCCCCAGGAAGTGAACCACCTCTTCTGTGAAATCCTGGCTGTCCTCAAACTAGCCTGTGCTGACACTCTGCTCAACCAAGTGGTCATCCTGGCAGCCTGTGTTTTTGTCCTAGTCGGGCCCCTCTCCTTAATGCTTGTCTCCTATGTGAACATCCTCTGGGCCATTTTGAAGATCCAGTCTAAGGAGGGCCGCATGAAGGCCTTCTCCACGTGTTCCTCCCACCTCTGTGTGGTCGGGCTCTTCTTCGGTATAGCCGTGCTGGTTTATATGGCTCCAGAGTCTAATCAACGAGAGGAGCAGGAGAAGATGCTGTCACTGTTTCACAGTCTCTTTAACCCAGTGCTGAACCCCATCATCTACAGCCTGCGGAACACGCAGGTGCAGGGTGCCTTCCACCGGGTTTTGAGGAAGAGCACCACAGGAGGCACAGGTGGATAGAATGTTGGCTCAGAAGCGCCCTCCTCCAAAACACACGGATTGCTGAAGCTCAGGAAAATTGCTGATTAGAAGCCTGCTGTATAAATGGTTATTGCACAGAGTTTGAACTCTTTGCCTAGATGTTATGTATTATTTCTTACGTTCAATTCGATTTATATACATTCTAAGCTACACAATTTCATTTCTTGTGCTTTTTTTGTTTTGGTTTGATATAGAAGATCTGAAAAGAGCCAAATGACAGTGAAAACAAATCTATTATTATAATTTACACTGCTTTATAATTTGCATCTATAAAGTTTGTAATTATGAATTACATTGACACTATAGTAAAGTACAACTTGTGCTTTACTATTATGTTTCCCTTCCCTGTTGAAAACTGTCAATGGAGCATAAATCCAGCTTTTGGATTAAATTCCAATGTTGAAAATCACTCCTATTTAGAGAGTGGGAGAGTGGAATGCTTTTTTGCCCT